AATTCAATATAATAAGCAAAATTATACAATATTTAAATTGGAGCTCTTTTAGCAGCCACATGCTACATCAGGTTCAATTCTTCTTCGATTCTAAATCAAGCTTAAATTCATTAATTTTTTTTTTTTTTTTTTTTTTTTTTTTTTTTTTTACCGTTTTATCACATATGTGAATATTTGTGTGTGTGTGGTGTGTGCGCGCGCGTTTGTGTGTGTAATTGTGTATTATTCGCAATGTGGTATGTCACCAAGGACTCCAATGTATGAAACTTGGCTCACCCTAGCTTCTGATAAAACTGGTTCAAATTGTCGACATTTCAACTCGGTAAAATCTACTTAAATTCCAATACTTGAGTAGCAAATGTCAATGACAACGAAAATTATAACCAAAAAAAAAAAAAAAAAAAACCTTAACCACTTTTTTAATAATAATAATAAATAAAGAATAACACAAATTAAGTTAGTTTGTGCTGCCTCTCTCAAAAATTATTGTAAGACTTCTAACATATGGTAATTAAAAAAACATTAGTACGTAATATACAAAGTTAGCCTGTATTAACTCTCAAAAATCATGATAAGACGTATAACAAACGGTAGCACACTTAACTTGTGATACAATTGATTCAATTTGTCATCATTTCACCAAATTTGTCCATCATTTCAACATGGTAAAACCTAATAAAATGTCAAATATTGAGTAGAAAATGTCAATGACAATCAACGAAAGAAACACATTTTTTTAATAAAAAATAATATATGAAGGGAGTTAGTTTTTGTCGACTCTCAAAATAATATTTGTCGATTCTAAATCAAGCTTAAATTTATTTATTTATTTATTATTATTTATTTATTTACCACATATGTGAATATTTGTGTGTGTGTGTGTGTGTAATTGTGTATTCTTCGCAATGTGGCATGTCATCAAGGACTCCAATGTATGAAACTTGGCTCACCCTAGCTTCTGATAAAACTGGTTCAAAATGTCGACATTTCAACTGGGTAAAATCTACTTAAATTCCAATCCTTGAGTAGCAAATGTCAATGACAACGAAAATTAGAAAAAAAAAAAAAAAAAAAAAAAAAAAAAAAAAACCCTTAAGCACTTTTTTAATAATAATAATAAAAAATAAAGAATAGCACAAATTAAGTTAGTTTGTGCTGCCTCTGTCAAAAATTATTGTGAGACTTGCACCATATGGTAATTTAAAAAAGACAGTAATATTTAGAGTTAGCTTGTATTAACTCTCAAAAATTATGATAAGACTTATAATAAACGGTGGCGCATGTAATTTGTGACATAATTGATTCAATGTGTCATTATTTGAACATGGTGAAACGAATTTATCCATCATTTCAACATAGTAAAATCTAATAAAATGACAAATATTAAGTAAAAAATGTCAATGACAATCAATAAAGAAGCACATTTTGAGAGTTAGTTTTTGTCGACTATCTCAAAATAATAATTAGTCTACTTCACAATGCATGATTTTGTCAAAGAATTGATACCAATCCACTCTCATATAACACACTTATTGTACAATTCTCCCATTAATCCTAGTCAGAAAAGTACAAATATACATAAATAAACACATAAAGGTAAACAAACACATGAGGCAAATTGACAAATTGTTAGAACAGCAAATTGAGTAATGTGTAATCAGACATTATGAGGTATGAGGGACAAAATGAATCACTTTTGAGGTGCAGCAGACAATTAAGGTTTAATAAATCAAATGAATCATTTGATGAGTGACTCAGGGGCTGTCATGCCTACTTTTAAAATTTAAAAATTATAATGAGGTTATCCAGATCTGTGAATGGAAAAATAAATTAAGAATAATCTTATTTCAATCTTAATAAAGAGAATTCATTTGATAGCATTACTTTAATTTGGTGTGTTTTTTTTTTTTCCAAAAGAAATGATGGTTGCAGTGAAACAAATAACGTCCTAAAATTCAAGATCAAATGGCTTATAGCCATTTGATGCCTTAGTCTGGGATCCATTTGGGCCACTTAGTAAGAAATTATTGCATCGACCCGAACCATTCGTTTATATCAATCAACAGTTGACATCTAAGCAAAAAGTTGAATAAAGCCTACACTTTGCTGACACATTTCTTTAAGTGTCGAATGATCATTAACACAGGACTATATAATAGTTTCTTTGCATGCATCTATTGGCTACCGAGTATGAGAACTATTTATTTATCGTTGGAGTGGGTATAAATTTAAATTTTACACCCATTGCGGGTTATAGGAAAAATCGCAAAAAAGAATCAATGTAATCAATCAAGCTATTCGGTTTGCTATTTCAACGGGTTTTTTTTTTTTTTTTGCTGAAATAGCATATATGTAACGACCCGAACTCGTGGGTCAGAATCGCTATCCAGGTTTAATTTACGGGTTCAGGTCGTTACAAGTTTGGTACACCGAGGTAGTGGAGAGAGCCTAGGCTAGTGATAGATGCTGAAGCTAAGAACCGGAATGAAAACCCCTAGCCGTGGAAGCAGAAAAGGAACGTGGGGCCATCTTCTGAGGGCCAGGTAGGAAAGAAGCACAAGGGTGGTTCTTCGCAGTTTCAGAGGCAGCAGCCTACACGATCCGCTCCTACTATTCCTATACCAGCTAGGTCAGTTAGCAATGGAGTCGTTTTTTTCAGTACCAGCAACCTGGACATTACAAGTCTAATTGTCCTATGAATTCGTCCACAATTTCTATGGCATCGAGAACTTGTTATGGGTGTGACCAGCAGGGCTATATGATTCGGGATTGTTCACAACGAGGTGGAGACACATGAAGTGACAAGGGATCACAGTAGAGGCCGGCACACTCAGCTACAATTCAATCAAGTTTTAAACCACCACCACAGCCTGCTCTGTCTTCTCATAGTTCTCGACTTGCTAGGAGGGGAACTCCTACTATGACCGCACAACAGTCGGGCATTAAGGTTGCCAACTTTCCTTTACAGGCACCTCAGGGTCGTAACAATATATAATTCTTTCTTGAACACTACTACGTAGGTTGATAATTTAGGAATAAAATATAAAGGCTAATGAGAATAATGTGTCCCACTTAATATATAAAGGCTTTTATGCCTATAGATATATTTTTAATGAGAATAATGTGTCTCACCTAAAATCATGGTTTGCCCGTGTAACAGATTCGGACAAATATCAGTGTAAACCGATTGGTTTATGAAAGTATGTAACAGTATTAAACCCTTAAAAAAGGTTATGAACAGACCGAAAACCATGCTTAAAGCATACATTATCTAACAGACACATGACATAAGGTTTCGACTTATCTTTATTTTTTTTATTATTTTTACAAGTTATAAGTAGGGTAACATAAGAAAGAAGCAATGGAGCTTTGTGGGCATCATAACTTTCCAAAACAAGAGGTGGGTGAATCCATCATCAACCCCCACCAAAGAGACATAAAACCCTATAGAGATGATTCTTTGTATTCATAGTTGGCCTGCAATGCATCCCATGAACAATATTTAACAACTCTTACCATGCTCTCCAGAGGGGGCAGAAGGGGGGCATGCACATCATTCTGATGCAACATTGACATCAGCAGTTAAACTATGCTTGTGGGTCCCTCTGGGGCCCACAATGTTGTCACATAAGGAGATCATCAGCTGACAAGTGGCAAACAGAATGGTGGAGAGAGAGAGACACACAGACACTCTGTAACTCATATTGGCTATTGGGCATTAGAGTAAAAAATGGGCATCAAGTGTTTTTACATTGGGCATTTGATGGTGGGGTTGAAATCTTTTTTGTGTTGGGTTGGGAGGATTGATGTTGATGGTGATGGTGATGATGAGGTACCCCTGGCTTGGCACGCCGTTTATCTTTTTAGCAAAGAGAATATGAATCATTATTTCCACTGCACGCCCCCCTCAAAAACCAAGAATCCCAACAATTCTCTAAAGATGAAAGAATAACCCTAATTTTCGGTATTTGTCACCCCCTCAATCATCATCTTTTATCCTTTTCCTCCATGTAAGATCAACTCTAATCTGCTTCGAGGATAAATATCTCTCTCTCTCTCTCTCTCTCTCTCTCTCTCTATATATATATATATATATATAAATACACACACAGAGATACACACACATTACATGATATATGATACTATTTATTTAGCGGCATTAACAGCTTATTTCATGCCATTCTTTGTCTACATATCATCACATAGAAAGTCCTACGTGGGAAGAGCCTATTGGACTGCGCACGTGAAACTTATAGTCCACCAGCTAATTAAACAATTAGAAGAACGATATATACTAGGTAAATTATGGTAGACCTAAACAATACGTAAACCTATGCATAAAGGCTTACACCAGCAACTTGGGGCTCACCGATTTCTTTGTGTGTTCAAAAGGCCCAAAATTCAGACTCCTCTCTCACCCACTCGTTAATATATGCAAAGCTAGATATGTCTGTACAATCAATACATAAATTATATATGGTCATATTAATCATAAAAATCAATTAATGTTCCATACACAAAGTGAATTTATATTCCCATTGTATATTATATACAATTAATGTCTTAGATTTGAAATTGAATAAAATTTAGTATAAGACTTCCAATCCAAGATGTCTATTTGTGCTCACATACACGTATTGTGTCCTTGACACATAAAAATACACAAGTTTATACCGAGAAAATATTATCATTAGCATTATTCTTACCTTTATCTTATATTAATTGAATTAATTGGTGATATTAATTTTATTTTTTACACATCTTGTCACATTCATTGATCCATTCATCGTATATATATTTTATCATATATGATTACCACCCACAAAGAGAAGAGCCCCACGCGAGCAAATCAACCTTAGAAACCGCAACTTCTAATAGTCATTTCACTTTCTCATTTCTTTTTCTGTTAGTTACGAACATCCATGAAGATTTTTTATTATCTTTTTAGTAGAGTATTTGAAGACGCCCACTTCAATAGATTTCATACCCAACCAAAATCATACCCCTTTTCGATTTCTCTGCCACCTTTTCTTCTTTATATTGTGCACTTACCCTTCACTTCTCTCCATCCCTTCTCACTCTCTCTCTCTCTCTCTCTCTCTCTCTCTATAGTGCGCCATATTGAGCTTTCTCTATCTATCTAGTGAGAAATCATATTGAGCTGTAAGAAAATGGCTGATATTTCTTGCTCTAACGGGATTAATCTTAATGGAAATGGAAATGGTGTCGTTAATGGCCATGGTCACGCTGTCGTTAACGGCAATGGTCACACAGTGGTAGCAGGAGGAGGTCAGAGGAAGAGCTGTTGGTATGAAGAAGAGATTGAAGAGAACTTGAGATGGTGTTTTGCTCTCAACCGGTATTAATATCTATTCATATTGTGAAATCCAAAAAATACACCATTTCCTAGTTGTTTGAGATCAATCTCACATACAATAAAACCACACAAATGTGTGTTGTTTTGTTTTTCTTCTTTCTCATATTTTCAATATTCACGCTTATGCCTAAAAATGACTAGCCTGGAGTTTTTATCCATTAGATGAAGTGGATAAGCTTAAAGATAAAATTTATTCACTCCATCCAAAATTCATTGGTTAAGGTTCTGTTAAAGTTTTAGGTCTAAATAGTATTGCCTTTATTTTTTAAATTTATTATTATTATTTTTTTGAAATTAAATATAGGAAAGTTGTGTGGAAAAGAATATATTATCTTGTTTTATATGGAACCCTGTGAGATTTCAACAAAAATAATAATAAGGCTATATGAAGGCAAAGGAAGCCATCTTTTCACTGAGTGAGACAAAACAAAAGTTCCTTCCAATTGTCTGCTAGGTGTTTTTCTAGATTTTGGATCATCTTTTTATATAACCTTATAGTGCTCTGATCAGCAAAGCTTTTGTAGCCTAAACAAGTAGCATTCTTAAAAGCAGAGAAGTTTCTATGGTTCTTTTTTCCTCAAAATTTAACGATTTAAAAGTCAGAAGACTATTGCTATTGAAATTTAAACTTGCCTTTGAATATCAAAATTATTACTATTATTTCATATTTTTTGCTGCAGTATTTTGCATACAGGAGCAACTCAGTTCCAGGACATTCAACTTTTGGACACAAAGCCCTTTGGAAAGGTTCACAATTTATACTAACATTTCAAACATTATTACACACACACACATATATACATACAAAATGATACACACCTAATTACTTATTATGTTTTTGTACATGAGAGAGTTTAGTATATTCTTGTTTCTTTGGTTATGCTAAATCATCTCTGTTTTTATACAACAGGCTCTAGTTATTGATGGAAAGCTTCAAAGTGCTGAGATAGATGAGTTCATTTACCATGAATCTCTTGTTCATCCAGCACTTCTTCATCACTCAAAGTACTTTTTCTCAATCTGTAAATGTTTTCTAGCCACTTCAATTTTTACAAGTCCCTTCTAGCTTATTGTCTGGTTTATGTAGATTCCTACCATCTAATTATGTATGCATTATGCAATTTCAGTCCGAAAACCATCTTCATCATGGGAGGAGGTGAAGGTTCCACCGCAAGAGAATTACTTAGACACAAGACAGTGGAGAAGGTTCTCATGTGCGACATTGATGAGGTACCTCTTTTTTCCTTCCTTTACTCTCCCTTTTCTTTTCTTTTTTTCATGTATGCTCAACTTTTAATTCCTTCTCTTCATCTTGTATGTTTTACTTTATGGTTTTCCAAGACAAGAAAATGACTAATTTACTCTTTGTCTTGTACCCTTATATGACTTTTAGCACAATAGATAAGATCACAATTAGTGTTAAGCAAGAAAAATCTGCCTTTGATGTGGCCTTTATCACATGTAACACAAAAATTAGTATGAACAACGAAATTTTTTTGGCTCATGTCGCGCTTTTTCTAAAAATTACTCGGACAAAGCAACAGCGAAAGAAGGTAAAATGGAATTAGAGTAGTATTTATTAATACTGCATATTCTATGGTGCAGGAGGTGGTGGATTTTTGCAAGTCATACTTGGTGGTAAACAGAGAAGCCTTTTGTGATCCAAGACTCGAGCTCATTATCAATGATGCCAGGTTCCTATTATTCACTGCCTATTTAGGTGTCACTGTTTTTTATGGTTGACTAACTCTTAAGTACTTTATTAAGCATTCATATATATATATATATATATATAAGCATTCATATTATTATATGTGTTGCAGGGCTGAGCTTGAAAGCAGAGAAGAGTGCTATGATGTGATCATAGGAGACCTTGCTGACCCAATAGAAGGAGGCCCATGTTACCAACTCTACACAAAATCCTTCTATGAATCCATTATTAAACCTAAACTTAACCAGGGTGGCATTTTTGTGACACAGGCATGTATATGTATCTGCTTATGTATTCTATGTCTGTGTTTGTGTAGACAGAAAAAGAAAGGGAAAATTAAATAGTTTTTCTTTTTACGTGTTGCAGGCAGGACCAGCTGGAGTGTTCAGTCACACAGAAGTTTTCTCTTGCATTTACAATACTCTAAGGCAGGTTTTCAAATGTAAGTGACATTAGAAAACATAAGGCATATCTGCCTTAATACACTCTTCTGTTTGATTTTTTCTTAAATCAGATTGAAAAGCCAACTGGTTGTTTACTTCACCCTTTTTCACTTGCAGATGTTGTGCCTTATTCTGCTCATATTCCTTCCTATGCTGACATTTGGGGATGGGTCATGGTATAATAACTCGGACTCTATTCATCTTTGTTGAAAATTTTCCCATCATCCTGTTTGGAGAACAAGAAAATTTGTGCTAATTTGGATCTCCAAAATGGAAGAAATGAGCTTCTAAACTTTTAGATGATGTGTGCGCGCGTGTGTGTGTTTGTAAAACATGTGAGGCAAGGATTTCCGATATAGTAGCAGCATAATATCAATACATCAGGGCATTAGTAGAAACACTGATAAACCTACTCGGACTTTTGTATCGATTAACAACAATGCCTATGAAATGTAATAATTGACAGGCATCGGATGCTCCATTTGTGCTGAATGCCAATGAATTGGACCAAAGAATGGAACAGAGGATCAAGGGGGAGAACAGATATCTTGACGGCAAAACATTCACATCAGCCTCTACCTTGAGCAAAGCTGTTCGGAAATCGTAAGGCCTATCCAATTTAATTCTCATTCTACGCCTTTACAGTTTTCTTTAAAGTTTATATGATTTAACTAATAATTTGAGATTGTTTGACAGACTGGATAACGAGACTCATGTCTACACAGAGGGAACTGCAAGGTTCATATATGGCCATGGTACCGCCTACAAACACAATCAAGCTTGAGAGTTGAAATAGAAGGGAGCCCCTAACAAAATCACAGAGACACAGAAAGACTGCAAGTTGAAAGCAAACTTGCCCTTTTAAAATGTTTTTTTATTGGTTTCAAAAAGAAGTGTCTTTCTTCTTCTTTATCCCACCTTTGTTTTCCATTTGCTTATGTAGTTACTTGAAAGGAATGATATAATGGTAATGGATCCTTGTTTGTTTCATTAGAAAGATGTGTTATGGAACTATATTGTTTGAACCTGAATCTGAGATCCAAGATATGTTACATGGACTCTTCAAAAGGAGTGAGATTCAAGCATATCTAACAATTCAAGATTTATATATGTATAAAACTCTTTTATCGTACTAACTTTCTCACATTATTTTTGCAAAACAATTGAAATGATTATGTTAAGTGTTTCTGTTTAATATAAGTGTTATTATGTTTTAAAAATGAAAATAAGAACATTGAATAATACAGATATTTTGCCATATCTCCATATTCTTGGGTTTAGAATCTGAAAACTTAGATATATATATATATATATATGAATCAAACACAAGTACTTCAACGATACAACATATTATATAAATTACTTTCAAAACATAACCCATAGAAACAGATACAATTAAAGCTAAAAAAGGATGATCATATAAAATTAAAAATTGACCCACTGAATCCTATTATATCATGGGCCAGCCTAAAGAGCTGTGGTCATTCAAAGAGGGAACATGTCAAGTTTAAGTGTTTGATCCACCTTATAGTATATCATTAGTGTTTGATAATTACACATTAGCCCACTAAATCCGTGGTCCTGTCCCACCCTAAAAAACTATGGTGTTGCTAAGGCAGAGCATACCGAGAATATTATGAAGTATAAACAAATTATTTAAAGTTACTAGACTCCTCAATTATTAATGCAGACTGATGTTTTTATATGTTTGGTTTTTAATATTGGGATGTTACCCAGGCGCAGGCAGTCCACATTTTCAGACACATTTCTGGAAACCCGTCTTTAGGGTAGATGCTCTGTCTTGAATAAAAAAGGTCTGCTAATAGAGCACCCTAATATCAGAGACTACAAGTCTTGGCATGCACTAAGCTATTCAAAGCAGGTTCCAACTTGCAAAAACCTAACAAACCATACAGAAGGAGCACTAAGGTCTTCAAAGTAGGTTCAAAATTGCAAAAACCTAATAAACCATACATAAGGAGCCAAACAAGGCCTTATGTGACACTCCGCCTTGAAAGTTTAAGCCACACGCCCAAATAGGATGATTGACATGGGTAGTCTGCATGGCAGTAATATTCTTATCTACACAAGTGTGGACTTGTATGGAATTCACCAGAGTTATGCAGACTTATCTAGAGTTGTACATAGCACTCTAGAGTAGCCTAGAGTCTAACCCAATTCTAGAATACTTCAGTTGGATTGTAGACACTTAGATAGATCATAACCATTTGTTGTAAGGCTCTTGGCCTATAAATAGGGGGAGGGAGCCCATTTGCTACTCACCAAGCAAGCAAGTCTTTGTAAAGTATTCTTCAAACAATAAAAACTACATTCACACAAATTCTTTCTGACTCATTAGGACACTAAAGATAGGTAGTTGGGCATAGTTGGCATTTCTTATACCTCTACTCCTACCATTATTAATCAGTGAAAACTATCATGCTCAATTTCATTCCCTTTTCTTTGGATATGATTTACTTGGTTATTAGGATGACTCTCATCCATGTCCATCCTCCGCTATTATCACCCATGGTACTACCTAAGATACTTTTCTTTTGTAAGAATTATCTCTGGTTGAATGTATAATTCTAAAATATTTTAAAGAATTTGAGAAATAATAAACACCGTCACATTCCATTAATTTTAGATTTCTGGATGAATTAACAAATATTATACCTAATAAAATTAGTTAATGCAGGAAAAAAAAAAAAAATTGTGTTCATATGAAAGGAAATTCGAAAAATTACCTTCATTCTTATACACAAATATAAAAAAATAACCTTATTTTTCATTTTTTTTTGTTTTAAATTTGATGGATAATTTTTTTATTTAATAGCGATGTAAAACACAATTTTCATACAATATGAAAACACAATCATCACCCAAAGTTCATCTTCATTCTTAATTCTTATACACTGACACACAGAAAAAAATAATAATAAATCAAAAATAAATGCGATGGATAATTTTTTATATATTATTATTATTATTATTATTATTTTGTAGCTATGTAAAACACAAATTTCATAGAACATGAAAACACAATCCATCACCCAGTTCATGAACAATATTGATATATGTAAAGTGTATGGGATTAGTCTACTAGATGGCAAATAGTAACACTTCCAAAACAAGAAGTGATTATGAATGTCAACAATAACAGTCAAATAGCACGCAATTAAAGGCTTTCAGTCACCAAATCCGAACTTTGAAAATGATAGGAGAGAATGAACCCTATGCCTAGCCTCCTTGTGAAAGAGCCCGTGCAAGTAATTCTCAATATGTCACGGTTTTTGATGACACACAATATACAATCCATGTTTTGTAATGTAGCTTCATGGAGAAATAAAATACAAGTACAACAAACAAACACTAAAATAATCACATAGTCACACACATACAAACATGTCACCAATAATTAATCACCTCTAACCTCACAAGTCATACACTTGCTTGCCGGTGAACTTGACCTCAATGGGGTTCACATTCTTCCCAATTGATCGCAAATTGACCCCGACCCCTTGACGTCCCGGGTTCACCTTCTCCGGGTAGACTCCATCCTTGGGGTGCAAATATTGGACCTCACCATTAGGAAACACCCTGTAAAATTGGTAGTTAATCTTATACTTAGACCTTAGTCTAGTGCCAAGTGCCAGACACTGCTCTTTCCTAGCCAATTTGAGCAAGTTAGGACCCTGTCTCATTATGGCTGCACCACCAGTGACCATTTCAAATATTTGTTCCTTGGGTGAGTCCCAAGTGATGACATAAAACTCCTCAACTTGGGCCTTCCTTAGTAGCCCACCAGTGCTGCCACCAAAGATTGGTGAGGGGGTGTTTGGGTCCAATTCAGGTGGGGTGAACCCAACTGGTGCCTCTTTTGGTGGTGCCTCGGTCTTTCCCTCCGCGGCGGCAACCTTAACGGTCCTTTGTGCCACGGTGAATTTGAGTGGTTTAGTGGTGGTGAATGGGACGAGGGATGATTGTTTCCATGGGGCGGCGACACGGTCACCGGATTTTTGGGCGGAGAGAGTTGGGGTGAAGAGGGAAGCTTGGGTTGCCATGGCCATGGGAGGGATTGAGAGAGGAGGTTGTTAGTGATTGTGGTAATTGGTTTATGAGTGTGTGTGTGTGTGTATGGACAATGTCATTGCGTAGTGAGATCTTAGATGGGTGGTGGGAATGTGGGTATTGATTGGGATAAGGTGATAGGGCTGGAACCAATTGAAATGCGTTATCTGATAGCCTGATAGGGTAGTCTTACCCACACCTCAACCTTCTTTTTCTTGTTTTGCCAAGTCCTTTTTGGTCAATGTTCATTTTCTTTTTGGCAATTATCATTTTTTTTTTTATATACGAAAACTGTATGCAATCTGGTGAGTGCATGGAGTGCTGCTTCTAGGAAAAAATAAAAAAACAAACCTTCCGGAAAAAAAAAAAAACAAAAAACAAAATTTGCACTTTATATTTTTATTGAAATTATGTATGCTAAAAATCATTAGGACCGTCACTTATGCTCTGTTCTGTTCTGTATTTTTATTTTTTTTGTTCGGTTAAATAGAAGTGAAGAATAAACTTAAGAATAATGATAAGGAAATCGATGAATTAAGTCCGAATAAGTATTGAATCTGACGAGTTTTTGTCCACCTCATCTGCTTAAACAGTTTCTAAAAATAATTGTTTAACACGTGATAAGAATAACCAATCACGTCAAATTCGATATTAATTCGGTGATTCTTTTCCTGTTTTCCTGTTCTCCTATCATTACTCCAAACTTAAAAGAGAAAATTTTAATTATTTTTACTATTATATTTAATAATATTTATAATATTATAATTCAAACATCTTTTGCTTTTTGAAGCCTTTATTTGTTGATCCCAAACTTGTACTCAATTATGATTAGACGTATCTTAGTGGGAGCGATATCCAAGTCCCGTTGATGAATAAAAATTAAAAAATGAACAGATTTCAATTTCCTATTTACCTCACAATTCAAATAAGTGTTTGCCATATAAGAGTAAATACGTAATAATATTCTACATCCACAAATTGAAGGAAAAAATAATAATATAAAAAAACTTTGTTAGCCCTTCAGCCAAAAATTTCAACCTAACACCAATGGATTCAAAAACCCATAAGCAAATTTGGGAAAGATGTGAAATACTTTTGTCGAATCCCATAGGCAAACGCTGTCGTTTGCAATGAGGAGAAAGACACCTAGCACAAATGAACACACACAGGAGGAGACCACACTCCATGGTTGGCTTTTCGGATTAATGTTATTGAAAAATATTTCATTGCGAGAGAGAGAATGTATTTGGTAATGACATCGTGAGGATGATTAAATTCGCAGGTTTTGCTGCAAGATTCATCGACTGCTTCAACTTTTCCAAATCTCTCTCGTAACATATGGGTAAGTCTTCTGTTTTAAAATCTCTCACACGCCATCTATGTTTGTTGATTGACGTGCTCTATATATATAACACACAAAAATACATACATATGTATTAAATATTATTGCTGTTTTATACTGTCTAATTAAGCAGTGTGCTCTTCAACATCCCATTTTTTATTCAAAATGAAGTAATTTTTCACCTCAAGTTCTGTTTTTGTTAGTCCCACCAAATGATTGTAATAATGAATGAAAGAAAAAAAAATTAATAATTGGAGGGATAGTACCAAGTTACTGTTTTTTTTTTTTTTTGCTGTTTCATAATCTCAAGTCCCAATTGGAAGTTGTTTGTTGTTTTGGAGAAGAAGCATAGATTTTTTCTTCTGGGGAAATAAAAATAAAAAATAAAAACCTAAGAGTGAATAAAATTATGATTTTCATGAGAACTAAAGTAGCTTTCTTAGGATTGAGAAGAAAAAAAGAGAAGGTCTCGAGTCGAATTCACATCAACAAGTTCAAGAAAAGAAAAAAAAGAAGCATCAAACCACACCGATTGGATTGCATTTGACAAAGTGGAACTTTGATAAGAAAGGAATTGGACTACTTTGAATGCACAAAGTCAAGGGAAAGGAAATGCAAATAATAGTGATGAGACTGCCGAAATTATAACCACTCAATAGTGGAGCACAAATCAAGTGGCAACACTATTAACTTTCCAACTTAAGTTTCACCAATCACAACTTTTCTGATGTGAATCTTATGTTTACTCATGGGTTTCTCGTCTCTGTGCTTTTGATGTATTTTTTTGCTTCATTACTTTTACTGGCTATTACAGTTGCACTTAGTTGGATCAAGACCAATCCTAGTTCAATGTCAAGTGTGTTGCCAATTGGCTAACCTGGACTCACTGCAGGCAGATCTTTAACTGGTTTTCAGGTTTCAATTCTAGTGTTTTTTTCGAATTCTGTTATTGTTAATCCAATACAACTGTTGCAACTTGTTGAAGCATTTTTTTCTTATCAAAACATTTGTATCCCCTCTTCACTCATGTTTGAACAAATGATCCATTTAATGTTATTGTGTTCATCAAAATATCTAGCAGATATTATCTATGCAAGCGCAAACCTTACTTATTATATTCGTAATAACCAAATAGGGGAATATTACAATAATGAAGAACTTAGTTGAGGCGTTTAATGCCTGTTCATAGTGGTTATACTGAAAATAAGCATATCTCCCCAATCAAAATGGCCTTCTAGGGAACTTTATCTGGTTTGCAGTTGCAATTGTTGATTTCAAACAGTTGCTGTTTTGCTTCCATTTTAGGTATGACCTTATCAAGTAGACATAGCTAGTTTTACCTGAACTTTTAAATTGCTGATGACTACCTTTGGGCTTAAACCACTTAACTAAGATGTGCAGGGCAAAAAAATGGGAAAAGAGCAGCTAAGATATAAGATATAGCATGTATAATTATAGGGAACATCTTGAATACCTTCATTAATACTTGCCTCCAATAAGATTCACAGAAAATGATAATACAAAAACCTAATCTCACCTTATATAGTACAACATACTGACAATATCGTAGCTTAAAAACCACTTGTTAACCAATTGCTTCAAAGATTCAGATTGAGACACTGTTTGGAATTCCCTTGCCAGTAAGGCCACTAGCTCCACTGTAATCTGAGGCGTTGGGATAGAGCAAGGTATAAGGCACCTTGACAGGCCCACATCGGTTCTTCAATCTCTCATCATTGTTTCTATGCATTATTCTGTTTTCGATTTCTACCAGCTTCACCCCAAACCTCTCAAATGCCTCTCGGGGCTGAGCGTCAGTAGTCCACTCAGAAGTGTCTCTCTGCCCAAGATAGACCTCATCAGCAGAATGCCGGGACAACATCTCTATCAGGGACACACCAAGAAGGGTTTGAAGTTGGCTTGTAATTGTTTTCAAAAAGGCCACTTCTGGGTTTGACTCAAGCTCGGCATATTCAGGAGTACCTGGTTCGGGCATAAAGCGGCGGCTTATGGTCGGGCGGTTTGGGAGGTAACCAGCATAAGGGTATTGCCCAAAATTGACAGCTGCATGGAGGGCCGAAGCCACCCATATGATGATGGTGCATGTTTGGATGAGGTCAGCTTGTGTCTGCATTTTAGGCCACCATGGCTCATCTTTCTTATCACCATGGCCCACGGTACGGAGCTCCAACCACCATGACTGGAGTTCAGAGTCATCTTGGATAAACTCATCTGTGGGGTAGTAGAAAGAACAATATTCACTGACCCAAGTTTCAATTGCAGACCAAATTTCAAGTCCATCAACAGCATAGGGGTAATCCTCTATCAGAAGTCTGAGGCCATGAGGCTGGCTTGAGTCTCGGACTGCCATTCCTCTGCAATGAAGCAAAAAATAGAACCAAATGTCATTTTTATAAAGATCAAAATTATGGACATTTTTTCTCATTTAAAGCTTTTGTAATTGACCTTTTGAGAAGATCTTCAGGAAGTGCCTGCTCAGTGAAAACCCAGTCCTTATAAATAACGGCAGACATTTCCATGGCAAATCTACCTGGGAAGACTGTTATCTCAAGCACCCCACCGGCATTGATGAGGATCTGTCTTGCCAAGGCATTTATGTACATTGTATCACGGAAGTGGGGTTTCAAGAGCTTATATATCGGGTGAAGCACACTTAATTGTCTATTGGTTGCAATAACAAATGGCTCTATTACGGCATGGGTGTTCAACCTGCACCAAATTTAAAAGCCTTCAGGTACACGTTCTCAACTACAGAAAGCTATTATTATTGCCCATCTTGCAGCATTATGATTATGGAATCATACCAGTGGCTAATGAGCTGATGACAGCCCGAATCATTTACAGCAGCATAAGCTTTGGCCAGCTGCCACACTGAACCTTCAATACCATTCTCTGCTGGAGTGAATACTTGGCTGGTGACACCATGTAGGTCACCTTGGGGATGAGGTAAGCTCAACTCAATTGCTAGCGGTTTCAATGTCCCATCATCTTGCAGTAAGAGGAGTGTTCTGCTGGCATAGGTTTTTGTGGTGGTGGTGTTTATCCGTCTCAGGTATAGCATCAGTGCATCATGATGATCTAGTATGAACAGCTTGTTGTCCTTAATTGCCTGTACTTGTCCAGAATTAAATAATAATTAGATTTGATAAATGATAATGCAGACACAAATAAAACAGCTTTATGGATATGTAGCATGTTTTTTTTGCCCCACTTTCCAATGTATAGTTTAGCAGAAAACAAATGAAGCAGAAATAGTACTTGATCTATGGTTAACCCATTCATGTTTTTCTCAATATGCTCTGTACTCATTGAACTCGTCTGGTTGCCATATAGCTCAGGGTCTAGCTTGCTAGCAGGTGGGAACTCCTGGCAGATTGAAATTCAATAAATATTTGAGTAAACAATAGAAACCATTAGCAAATAACTTATCAAATGAAAGTTATTTCTTACCTGGAGGCAACTGATGACAACAGGATTCACTCCAGCAAGCATTTCTCGCGCAAATTCTTCATCTGTCCTCCAGGCAGACTTATCCTCTAAAAATTATCCATGAAAACTCATATTTTTAATATAAGCAAGTAGATATATGTTACAGGATTTAAAATTTTAGACTATGAAAAGCTAAATGCGATATGAAAATTGTATATACCTTTGATTACATCAGGCATTGGGAAGTTGTGGTGCCGCTCACCATCAGAACGAATGAGCTCCTTGATCAGCTCCAATGGGACGCACTCCCCAAGTTTATTGTGTGTGTCCCCGTTTGGAAGCTTAACCTTACCTTCATACAGGTTGATTATATCCTGGAAAGTGTCAAACTCGCTAGGCGTTTTGTCAAATAAAGTGATTTCTGCGCGCATTATTTGACACAAGGATTTTAGAGAATAGGCAAGGAAATCCGACATCTTCACTTGAGTAAAACGTTCATCTTTTGGAACATATATATCTAAACTTAGAAGTGGCAATCTGCTTTCCGACTTGGGATCTGCAAAGACAACTCAAGAAGATTGAAGTGCTGATAAAAATTATCAAAACTTGATTGCTGCTAAAAAAAAATTATAAAATCAGAAAGCTTGAATACTAGTAGAGTTTATTGATGCTTGAAGTGCTCTGTGCTGTAATGGTATTTGAAACCATTTAGAGTTTACAATAAATAAATTTGAGCCTTTAACCTTTTTTTGTAGGTGGGCGGCCAGTTTTGCCCCTACGAGGATATGGGTACTCCTCAGATCCACCAAGAACAGGGCGTTCATACTCCTTGCCCTTGTCTGGACTTCCCAGATCATTGTAATATGCATAGTCGTAGACTCTGTCCCATTCCTTGAGCATGCCTGACCCATTTCCACTACGAAGATTAATAAGTTCTTCTTCCCTATACTGGCGTAGCGGTTCTGGTGTATTACATGGCAGGTAGGTCTGTTAAACAAAAACATAGTGTCATTGTTTAGTGCTTTTACTTACTGTCTAACCTTTTCTTAACATATATAAAACAACTTTCCCGTGAATCAACTATTGAAGCACAATTAAGCTATGCTATTCTATCAAAAGTTATGTATCTATAGCTGATCCTAGTACTGTTAGAAAAATGCTCCAGAACAAATTGTCTCTTGCTACTCTATGAAAAGTCATGTGCCTATAGCTAATTCTAATCTATTTTATTTAAAATAAAAAATAAATAAATACAATAAATAAATAAAATAAAATAAAACACTAGAATTGGATTATTTAGTTTGTCAAAAATGCCACATAAAAAGGAAGCAAATTATAAGGTTTCAATTATTGAGGTGAAAAAGAACCATCATGATAAAAAGCATTACCAATATGGGACAGATGTGATGCTAATGAAAAAATCATAAAGTTATGATGACTGGGGATTGAGTCTCCATGCTATTATGATCATACATGACCATAATATTTATGAAAAAAAAATAGATACAAATTAGTTGTCTTTTACATGTTTTTTATGTTACATAGATTAGAAATACCTTATTTGCAAAGAAGACTCGATTGTATTTGTATCGATGTTTTGGGTAAACCCAAGAATTGCATTCGAAAATGACTGGACCATCGTGCCCAGGAACATCGTCTAAGATGACTGTCTTGAGGTATAACTGGCTGTGGTGGTGGTTTCTAATGATGAAAGCACCAGGAATACCCATGGTCTCATCCCAGTCAAATTTGATGTTGAATGTAGCTTCTCTGGCTCTTACTGAGGTGATTGTCGCAATCCAATTTTCCAAATAGGATATTTTCCCGAGCTTCCCCCGCGATCCATTTTCTAAGACATTTACCCAAAACAAAATTTCAGCTTAATAAAACTCAATTAATTGTAATACCAACTTAATTGGAAATATCCAAATTAAGCTTTTGTAGTTTTTTTCGGTCAAGTCTTCCCTAATTATTGTTATTTGCAGAACATGAACAAGACATTGAAGAATGACAAGCTTTGGTTTGGATCAGTCAAGTTCAACATCTTTGTTTGCTTGAAGAGAACAGAGGAAAAGAAAAGGCAAAAAACTTATTCAACTAAGCCAAATAACTGAATTAAGCTTCTGTTAATTTGCGTTATACATGCATACACATTTACTCAATCTTGAATAGTTTAGTACGACGGCATTTCATATATATGTTCCAAAATTTTCTCATCAACCAAACCGTGCTTATAATTTCTTCTTGTCCGATCTTTCTTGAATTAGCAAGAGAAGAAATGAACAGTGACCGAAATAGGACCTCCGATGTGTGATTCTTGATTAGTCCTTTGTCTATATGCAAGAACCACCATGACAGCCCTCTCTCTCTCACTTATTCTTGCAATTCAAGAAAGTTTTTAGAGAGACAGTGAGGAAGTTGAGGAGACAGACTGACCTGGGTCGCCATGAACAGCGCTGATAAGCTGAAGTGAGACGCCTTTGCCGAAAACCTCGTGAACCCGATCAAGAATCGACGCTCCTAGATCGGTCACGTCCAGTACATTCTTCTTCATCAACTTCACAGTCCCTTTAATCTTATTGCCTTTGTCTTCAATGGGCGCCTCTCGATTCTTGCCACAAACCGTTCCAAGAATCTTGTTAAGCATCTCCGAAGACCATGGATGATACGCCATTGGAGAAGCTCTGATCAGCAGAAACAAGTTAACAGAATATGTTCTGTGGATTGAAAGGTAAAGAGCCTCCCACAATATTTATGCTACACCTGCAGGTACTTTCTCTGCCCTCATTGACTTGAATAGACTTCGTTTCTCATATATATATATACACACACACACACACACACACATAGACATACATAGAGAGATGGGGTCGTTAAGGCGTATTTTCTATTTTTTCTCCTTGTGGAAAGTTAAAGTAAATGCCCTGATTCGCCCGTCCCACATGGCATATTTTTTTTAGGATTTGTCTATTTCCACCTAAATGATGGATCAATATATATAATCGAAGTTTAACGGCCTTTCAATTCATCAACGTGGGTCCTATTTTCGTGAAATCAAAGGCTGTAAAAATATCATATCATTTCATTTTTTTTTTGGTTTATAGTTTCGGTTAAAATATCATTTCTTTTTTTTAATTGAATTAAGAATTAGATATTGCTCTGTTTAATATCTACTGCTATATAATTGTATATTATAGTTCTTCACACGTATTCTCTCGTTCACGGGTGTGATGAAACTTTGTTCCTCGGTTGGCTGCTAAGTAATATAATAATGTGACATGTTTTTCCTAGAAAACGAGATTCGTAACTCTGGTTGGTTGGTGCAAGGAAAGAATAGATTGGACCACTCTGTGACATTTAGTTTGGTTATCACATGTTGTTCAGGTCTTTCTCCATTTTTCATGTAATGTGAAAGTGTATTAATATGAATAGGGAACCCGTAGAGCTGTTGGATTCAGACACTGGCAGTTTCCAGTTGTCTCTCTCTCTCTCTCTCTCTCTCACACACACACATACTCCCTTGTCCCAAAAATAGATGTCATGTTTTCTTTTTAGGTCTGTCTTTGTCTACTTTTTTTTTTAAACAATATATTTTACATCTTTCCATATATGTTCTTAGAGTTTAAAATTTCAAATTTGAATATAAGGACAAATTAGTAACTTTTTAAGGAGACAAAGCATGTCCTACATGTTCTCTTAAAAATTCCTACTTCCCAAAAGCGACATCTAAATTGGGACATAGGGAGTATAATGTAAAGAAAATGTTTTGAAAGGCTGTTGTTACTTGAATTAAACTAGTTTTAATTAACTAAAACAAATACAACAAAATAGAACATCGGGAAAGATTGAGGAGAGGGAGGGTACCAACCACATTGTACCAGAACATCGCGGTATACTCGCTAATTTTTTTTATTTATTTATAGCTTTGAGGATTAGAGCACGCAGCTACGAACCACGGTGTCAAGTGTTCGAATCCCTTCTCACCCACAACTGGAACAAAAGGGAAGGACCTTTCCCTACGAGGGCAGGGGAATTATGATGGGATAACAAACCCAAAGTTATTGAAATTAGATGTGGGTCTTTTGTCGAATTTATTGTGAATAATGGAATCATTATACCCTGTCCTCGTTAGTGTAATTTTTTTTTTTGGTTTAACGCTCCCCAACTCTTCCTCAGCCACTTCTCACCTGCCCTTTTAGGGAGGAGAGATTTTATTCGGAGAGGTTATAAAATCTCTGCTAATGGCCCAATTGTAGCATAGAGGTGAATTTAATTGAAAGCAAAGGGCATGCATGCTTCATTCTTGAAATGATAGGCTTATCACAAATATTGATGTTTTTGTTTATTTGTTTTATTTTTATGACGACGAAGGACTGTTCTTGGATGCCTTGTTCATGTTTTAGTCTGAGTCTTATTGGGGAAGAGTGAGTGGAGGACAAACCTGTCCTTTTAACTTTTTTTAACCAACCATTCGATATAAAAGGCCATAACCCAAAAGTAACCCTAATGTGTCAGTTGTCTCCCAAATTCTGTGGAAGATGAATTATTAAGGATGTTGTACCCTAGCAATTAGGAGTGTTGGTGTCCTTTGGCATTGGACTTTGGAGAAATTAGTAGTAATGGTTTTTTATATCGACTTTGAACAAATTAAATTTGGACATGTGAAAACAAAATGGCCATGCCATGTACATCATAAAATTTAACAAGGGATAAAAAGTTGCAAGGATAGATATGACGTGTTTGGATGTAGACATGTTTGGCCTGCATTCGTTGCATTGTCACATTCTCAGGGATGATGAAAGCGCAATGTGTTGCGCGTTGGACCAACTTTTCTCTATATTTCATTCTCGCTTTGTCCTTTTATGAGAATTTGAACCCTAGGCAAATTCACGGAAACATGAAAAAAGAGTGTAGGAAAATTCCGCATGGTTTAAAGTGGTGGAGAGAACTCCATTTTTATTAACAAGAAATATATTTATACATTTTTTTTTTAACCTATACTCGGGTTCAAACTCTCTCTCTCCTCTTTGAGGATGGTTTAAAGAGGTGGTGGTGGGAACTCCATTTTCTTTCATCTCGAGTTTTTTTTTTTTTTTTTTTTGACAAGAAATACCCTTACACTTACTTGCAAACACAATTCTATCTACACCCGGTCTCAAACCCTTTCTCTCTTCTTTAAAGATGAAGAGATTATATAATTGGCCTGGTATCTTGAATCAATTTAATTAAAATATAGAAGTAGCAGCAGGTATGGTGATTTATTATTTCAATCACCGATGAGAGAAAGGGGGGATTTGAAAAAAGGTTATTTTCATTTTATTAGGTTTTGCATGTGAGAGGTGGTCGTAATGGTGTGTTTGAACACTTCTGCTCTTTCTCGTACAATGGATGTGGATGTCTGCGTCAGATTGAATAGAATTAATGTTAATGCATTCTAATAATGGTGAATTTGAATATAAACATGTTGGTCAATTCAAAAGCTATTTTTATTAATTGCTTTTTTTGATGAATAATTCGCACCTTAAATAAAATTTTGTTTTGTTTTGGAACCAATAAGCTTTTTTGGTAAACTTTGTCCTTTGGCACGTTACATTATTATTTTCTTTTGGTTATTGGTGGATCCCATATTATAAATATATTGTCTATATATAATTTATACTCACATGGTCTAAAGTTCTAATGTTAAGATGTCATAGAGTCAAGGCCACCACCACCATTATGTCCTTTAGCTTTAAGAGAACAAGTGCTTATCCATGAAATAATAATGCCTATTCTACCAATGTGTGTGTGTGTGTGTGTGAGAGAGAGAGAGAGAGTTTACCTGCCCTGGCCTCTGTGAACATGTATCCTTTTCTTGTCTGTCATGAAAGGAATCATGGCCAAAATGAAGATTTAAGCTTAATGAGATGTGATTAAAAATTAAAAAGTAGAAACTAAAAAAAGGGAAAAGGGGATTTACAAAAATTGAAGGTGATGGTGGTGGTATATGTTCTTTACTTGCAGCAATATCAAATTTGTAAATGCTAAGAATAAATTATGGTAAAGGTGAATGTTCCTTAGTCTCCTATCCCATATTCGAACCTATATATATATATACACACACACATACACACATAGTGTTCTTATCCCATATTCAAACCTATATATATATATATATACATACACACATATAACACTATGGATTAAGGTCCATTGTTGGTTAATGCCTTAGTTGAAAGAATAAGGGTGCAATTTGGGTTAGGTAATCCAAACCTAAATCCAATTTGAGTCTAGCTCGATTTTTTATTAGTTTGGGTAATTATTTTTACAATTAAGGCTAGACTTGGATTGAAAAATCTAAATCTGAATTTAATTAGGGTTGGACTTGGGTTGAAGTGCTAGCAACCCGAGACATCCCGAACCCAAATTCTAATATTATTTTTATATATATTTTTACTTTTAAATACATTATATATAATATTTAAACTATGATTACTTTTTTTCTTTTCAACTTTTTTTTTTAAATCTTAACTTATTGTTTGTTAACATTTAGGGGAATTAATTTTTAAAAAAATTTGTTTATAATTTATTAAAAATCTACAAAAAGTCTTTAAACTTTTTCTTGTTTAAGAGTAATTTAATTTAAAACTAATTCAAGATCATATTAAATTTTCGGTGTAAGGATTAGTCATATGAGTAACCCGAATTAATCAGAAGTTTTTACCTGAAATCTAAACTCGAGTTGTAGGCCCGAATTTAAAAGTAAAAGGATGGGTTGGGCTTAGGTTGAGTAGTTAAGGTTGAGGATAATGTTAGGGTTGGGTTTGGTTTTAACATTTCATACTGTGAGTTAGGCTCAAATTATACCTCAAATTCGCCCAATCCACCCGAATTGCAGCCCTAAAAAGAACACAGGAAAATAAAAGGTTTAATAGTCAAGGAACCCGACTGAGATATCAAAAATTCTACAAGATACCCTTCTGTTGAGTTCCTGTTTTGCCCTTTTTTGGATTAATTGCATAACATTCTCCTCAACTATTAAAATAAATAAATAAAAAATAAATAAATAAATTTGTGACCCTTGTGAAATTAATTTGAAGGACGATTTAGTAATTGTCAACACATGAAATGATCAACAAACTGCAATTAAAATGGTGGTTGGCATGATTTGTAACCTTTTAAGGGTTTATGGGGTAACAGTTTTAGGTGGGAGAAATCATGTGCAATTAACTCAAAATCATTATTTTAAATTAGAAGGCAAAAGAGGCCCTCCATTCAATTGTGCAATTGTAAAAATTGAATTAATAACAAGATTTATGAACTCTTCATATTTAAGTATTATTTTAAAAAATTATATTAATAATACTTTTTAATTCTCTTGATAGCATTTTACAGTCAAGAAATGGTCCTCTAGGAGAGAGAAACAATAGAATATAAACAATCCCTACGTAGGATTTTATCAAGTTGTAGATAATATACAAATCCGGATTAGAATAAGATTCGAGACAGGGTTGTAGAGGAGTAGAAAACCTTCCACTCGCGAGCAGTATTCCATGTGTGGATCCAATAATATTTTTTATGAAAATTGTGGCATCATTAATATGCTTCCTCAAACCGGCAAGTATAGAGTCGGTGGCCCAAGCACTGGCCCACACTTAGTTATAGTTCTACGATCCATTATTCATATGATTTAGGTAGTTAGTAAGGCCTGTTTGGTTGGGTTTTGATTTTTTTGCGCTTTGTTTTAATCGAAACAAAAAAAGTGTTTTGAATAGTAATTGAAAATATATTTGGTAACGTTCATTGTAAGATTTTTTTAAAATAAAAATATAAAAGCATAGTTGGTAAAAAAAGTAATGTAAGTTTGAAAAATATAATAATTAGTTTAAAATTATTATTTAAGAGTTTTTCAAAAAAAAAAAATTAAATGTTCA